AAGTGCATCAAAAACAAAACCAAATTTGTCTCTCCTCCTAAGTGTCATTTCTGAGGGATGCCACTTTAATCTTAAACATGGGAATTCAACTATACTTTTATATTCCATTCATAGCTGAAATACAAATGTAAATTAATATGAGAGTTAAGGTTAAATTGAAAATCTGCCTTGTATTGCATTAAGTTTGGAAAAACCTTGTGAGGATGAACAGCCAACAATAGATCATTTCCACTTTCTCTCTTGGCCACCAGATGGAGCTAAGTAAGCATAGATGTATGTTTAGGGTAAGGCTGGCTCCTACATTGTCTGAATTCAGAAATGTAGATGGGGAGAAATTACAAGACTATTGATAAGAAAGAGACTGTAGGTGGTTTCTAATCACGTTGCCTCCTTTTTTGGCTGCAAAGTGTGTATTTAATTGAGTAGGAAAATGTATGGAGAATGTTAAAATCATTGGTAGGAATTTTGGAATAAAATTCTTTATGTTTAAAATTGATGGAAACAAAAAAATAACTTTCCTTTTCTATATAAATATAGCTATTCTTGGGATGCACAATTTGATAACGAATACACAGTTCTGCGACGTAGTGGGAAGTAGTAATGGTGTCGACCAAGAACATTTTTCAAGTGAGTACTTACAGTGCTTTGTGAATTCCAGTCCATTGTTAATTATGTTTTGTTTTCTCCATGTAACGACTTCAGTATATTCATACTAAATGTTAGGCATTTGTGCTTGAAACCTAAGATTCCAGCTAGATAGTATTGACATTGAAAATAGAACATTCAATATTTTATGCTTAATGTGTCAGCAAATGTAACAGGAAGTCCCTTCTCACTTCACCAAATAATACTAATGGTAAACACTATAAAAGCTACCCAAACTTGGCTTTTATTGACATTTTGTTTTCAATGTTACTGATTTTCAAGAAATCCACAGCAGTGCCAACAAAGAAAGTACATTATAAAATTAGATTCAGGAGGAACCACAGAACTCTTCAGCCCCTAAACCTTTTAGTCTGATACAAAGTAGTAGCCTAAAGAAAAGGTTTTTTAAAAATTTATTTATAGATGTTTTTAAATTACCAAAGTAATGCATACTTTTGTAGTAAATTTAAACACGAACTAAGTGCTTAAGGTAAGAAGTAAAAGTGTCTCTGTTCACAGCCGTCATGCTTGCTCACACCCCGCCTCCACCCCCACCCCTAACTGTTAACAGTTTGGAATATATCCTTCTAGAGTTTGTATTATGCTTATATGAACTTATATGTGTATCCATGTTATACACAAATAGTCTTGTTTTTTACAAAAAAGTGGTATCATAGATATTTCTTGTAACTTAATTTTTCAATAATAATGCTATTGGCTAATTTTGGGGAATGCTTACCATGGGCCATGTGACAGCTCTTGAATATGAATTGTTCTCAATCTTCACAACAGTTCTGTAAAATTAAGTATTATTATTGTCTTTAATTTGCTTGTGAAGAAGCTGAGGTTTTAGGATGATTAAGTAACTAGCTTCAGTATCCCAAGAGGATGATGGTAAGGATTTTAATCCAGGCTGTGTAGTCTGTCACTTAGCATTGTATCACATTCCTAGGTAGCACGTACAGATTTACCTCATTCAGACATCTGTATAACATTCCAATTTATGAATGTTCTATAATTGCCCATTCCCCTATTTTTTAAAACTTTTTATTGTAGAAATATTCCAGCATACATAATAGAAGAGGGAATAATATATCCATCATCCAGCTTCAGCTGTTTTTCACGATTCACTGGCCACGTTTCTTCCACCGTCTGCCTCCCTCCCACGCCTTGCACTTTTTTCCCTGGACTGTCTTAAAGCAAATCCTGTTTGTTTGTATAACTTCCTTCATAACTATTTCCATATGTATCTCTCACAAAGGCTTGTCTTGTAACATAACCACAATATTATCAAACTAAAAAACTACCAATAATTCCTTCATATCATCTAATACCCAGTCCATGTGCAGATTTCTCGTGTTCTCTCAAAAACGTCATTTCACAGTTGGTTTGTTCAGGATTCAAGTAAGGGTCACACGCTGCATTTAGTTGTCATTTGGTCTCAGTTCCTCTTAATCTCTTAACAGTCCTCCTTAACTTCTCTCCCTCTTTCTTCATGCCATTTATTCTTAAAGAAATGGGGCCAACATGTAGAATCTTCCACATTCTGGATTTGGCTGATTACAACCTTTTGGTATCATTTTACATGTTTCTCTTTCTCCTGTGTTTCTGTAAACTTATTTTCTAGAGGCTTGATCAAATTCAGGCACCGTGTGTGTGTGTGTGTGTGTGTGTGTGTGTGTGTGTGTAGTGTGTGTGTGTGTGTGTGTGTGTGTGTGTGTAGAATGCTTCCTTGGTGGTGATTAAATCACATTAGGAAGTATATCAAGTCTGGTCATTTGTGGAAAATCTTAAGATTGATCCGTGAACTCAAATGTTGGCAGCCTGGTCCATGCATTTAAAATCCCCCATGAACCTTTCTTAATGGTTTCAGCACCCGGTTGACTGGATCCATTATTTCATTATAGAGCAAGTCTCTTTAAATACACACATTCTACGGAAAGGGGAAGAAATCTCTTGGTTTTATAAAATTTAGAATTGAGGAAGAGCATATTATAACTTTATCTTGAACATTGCTAAAAATAAATGGGATCACCAGCTTGTGTTATCAAATATGTTTTTGTGGTAAAGATACCTTGTAATATGCCAAGAGGCAAGAGGAAGTAAAAATACTCATTTTTGAAGGCTGATATATTGCAAACAAATTGAATGTTGAATTAAGTTTGGTATTTATATTCAGTAAAATTTTATTTGAGTGCTTTATGTGTCAACACATGCAGGATCTTTTGGGAATTTGGAGGAAGAAACTTACAAATTAGTTCTACCAAAGAAGGTTGTGTGTGTGTGTGTGTGTGTGTTGTATGTTTCCAAAGTAATGTATGCATTCACTGTGATAGTGTCAACCAGTGACTCTCTCTCTCTTTTCATTTGTTACTACAGATGTGGTAAAAGGTGAAAAGATTCTTCCAGTATTTGATGAGCCCCCAAATCCAACCAATGTTGAAGAGAGTTTAAAAAGAATTAAAGAAAATGATGTTCATCTTGTTGAAGTTAATTTGAATAATATAAAGGTAGGTGTGATAAGCAAACAAAATGATGATTTGAATTGCTTTGAGTCGTTTGGATCCAGGATAAGGGCTGGGCAGCTTTAATATAGTCTGATTCCTTCTAGTTAATAGTCAAGTGTTTACTTCTAATAGATGCTAACATAGATTCCTTCCTATTTTAGAAATTAAAAATTTTCTAAAATTTTTCTGATTTACTTTTTGAAGACTATCGGGTAGAAACATAAGCTCTATGGACTGTCAGAATAAATCTCTCTGGCTTCCAAAGTACTGCCCACTTTTAAGAGCATTTTAGTCTTTCAGGTTTTGTTTTTCAATCAGGTCTCTTGAGGTATAATTTATTCTTAGTGAAATTCTCCCTTTCTAGTGTGCAGTTCTGTGAGTGAAGGCAAATGCATGCAGTTGTACAACTGCCAGCACAGGTCACACCCCTTTGTCATTGTTTCCTGCCACCAGCTCTAGCCCCTGACAACCACTGCTCTGTTTTCCTTCCTTATCATTTTGCCTTCTCCAGAATGTCATATAAATGGGATCATAAAACGTGTAGCCGTTGAGCCTGGCTTCTTTCACTGAGCATGATGCATGTGAGGCTCATCCGTGCCGTTGCGTGTCTCAGTAGTCTGCTCCTTTGTATTGCTGAGTGGCATTCCTTGGTCTGGGTGGGCTGCGATTTGTTGATCCATTCACCAGTTGATAGACATAGGAGATGCTTCCAGTTTGGGGTGATTAAATATAAAGGCTCTCTACACTACACATGTACATATATGCATATATATTTGCATACTGGTTTTTGTGTGAACATATGTTTCCATTTCTCTTGAGTAAACACCTAGAAGTGGGTTTTGTGAGATCTTACTGGGATTTTTTCTTTTCTTTTCTTTTTTTAATTGAAGTGTAGTCAGTTTACGATGCTGTATCAACTTCTGGTGTACGGCATAATGTTTCAGTCATACATATGCATACATGTATTCCTGTTCATATATTTTTTCATTATAGGTTATTATAAAATATTGAATATAGTTGCCGGTGCTATACAGTATAACTTCTTTATCTGTTTTATATATAGTAGTTAGTATCTACAAATCTCAAACTCCCGTTTTATCCCGTCTCACCCTCTCCCCCCCCACCCCGTAACTATGAGTTTGTTTCTGTTTTGTAAATATCACTGGGATTTTTAAAATGCAACTCTTCCTTGGAGGAAAGAAAGAAAAACGAGTTAAGAGGGCATAGGGATGATTAGTTACCAAAGAGTCAACGCAAATGGTCTCTTAGATACTAGTCATTGTATAACAGCTTCATTACAAATTCCTCGCTTTAAATCTCAATTTATCTGAATTGGAAGCAGAGGGAACATCTGGAAATTACAAGAACCTAGGGAATAAGACCTTTGGCTCTTTTCATGGGTGTTCCTTCCTCTGAATGGAGCAGGGGAAGCCTTGGAAAAACCTAATATCCCTTGTTGATTACTAATCTTATTTTTATCTTTTTTAAGTTCAGTTCTTGTGTGTCTGTCTCTAAATCAGTAGTAATGATCTGAAAATAACCAGGCTACAGGGAATTGAAGTCCTGGTACTTAAGGGAAAGGTCAGTGCCTCCTATAACTGTATCTTACCTCATTTCAAGTAGGGTAGGGTGAGTGTCCCTTACTGTCTTCTCGGTTAAGTGACTGAGAACAGTATGTCATCTGCCTTAGGAATCTTTGGAAGCAGATTCCCACCTCTTTGCAGAAAAGCAGGTCCGCTTTGCGTACTCATGGGTTGACTGCTCATATACAAATAATTAAAAGTAGAATAGTGAGAATTTCTATAGCCTCAACACTAGAGAAACAGGGACGTATGCTCTGCTCTATGCCAACAGTTTGTGCAAATGCACCATAACAGAGAAGTCAGAGAGATAAGGAGGCAGCTGAGTTATTCTCATTTATAGACTAGTGGTTGTTATGTTATATAATTTCTGACTACATTTTAATGCAAAAAAAAGTACAAATGTATTTGATTAAGGGACTGAATTTCCTGAAAACTAAAATGTAATAATGTTTCACATTTCTGTCTTTCAAGAATATCCCAATTCCAACCCTAAAAGATTTTGCGAAGGCTTTGGAAACCAACACACAAGTGAAATATTTCAGTCTTGCAGCCACCCGAAGCAATGACCCCGTTGCTGTTGTAAGTAAGCCGCTACTGATAATACAAAAATTACGACTATCTGATACCAGGGTATGTTACAGAGGTGGTTAAACTGTGATCTTATGAACAACTTACTCCCTTTTTTCAATTAATATTTAGCTCACTGTTAGGCAATACATCATTTGCTAAAATGTTTCTTTTCCTGTATTTCCTTTCTATGAAATTTTTAAAACACAAATGGAGTCATGCAATATAGACTGTTCTGCAACTTAAATTTTCACTCAACATTATGTCTTAGGGATCCTTGCATATCAGCATATGAAGTTCTACATTGTTCTTTTAACATCTGCAGAGAATTCCATTTATAGATCTATAGTGTTGAGTTTGTCAGATGTTTTTTCTGTGTCTGCTAAGGTGATCATGTGGTTTTTGGCCTTTGTTCAGTTAGCACAGTGTATTACATTGACTATGTATTGAATCAGCTTTGCATTCCTGGGGTAAACCCCACTTGATCATGATATAAACCCTTTTCTTCACTTGGCTTTGAGGATGTTACTCCCTTTGATTCTCCCCCGACCTCCCTAGACATCCTTTTGCTGGTCCTTGCACTGGTCCCTCCTCATCTCCCCAACATCTGAGCATCGAAATGGCTCAGGGCTCGGTCCTCGTCCCTCCTCTTTTCTCTCCACACTCACTTTCTGGGTCATCCTGTTCTGTTCCGTTGCTGTATGTTGCCCGTGCACGCTGGTGTCTGCATGTGTGCCGATGACTCCCAGTGTTTTTATTTCCGGTTCATTCCTCTCCCCTGAACTCCAAACCCGTGTCCAGCTACCATTTAACAACTTTACTTGGCTGTCTAACAGACGTCTCAGACCTAAGCCCCAAACCAGACTCCTGCCTTCCATCCCGTTCCTGCCTCTCTCACACGCTTTCCTGTCTCACTAACTGCCAACTTCATTCTTTCATTTGCTCACGTCAAAATAAGAATGATGATGATGTTGATGGAGTGATCCTTGACTTCCCTTTCTCACAACTTTAAATGTATATCCAGCCCTGTCTTCACATGTTTCTGGAGTCCAGCCCCTTCTCACCATTTTCACAGCTACTGCTCTGATCAGAGCCAGTCTCTCCTCCCATCTGGACACTGTGGTAGCCTCCTAATTGAGCTGTCTACTTCCATCATATCCACCCCAAAGCCAGCTCTTCACACAGCATCAACAGTGACTCTTTTAAAACAAATGATCTCATTCCTGTGCTCAGAGCCCTATCTCACTAAGTAAAAATAACAATCTTTCAATGGCCTCATAAGGACTCACATGAGCAGACCTTGTCTCCTTTCTGGTCATTTCTTTCCTTCCCCTCTAGTCACCCAGCCTCCTTGCTCTGCCTCAGACATGCCACAGATGCTCCCCGCTCAGGGCGTTTACACTTGTTCCTCCTGCCTAGAACTTTCTCCCTGAAGATACTCCACGTAGTCTCCATCACTTAAGGTATTTGAGCCCTGCTCAAATGTCACCTTTCGAGTGAGGCCTTTCCTGGCGCCCGTAAATAAAATAACAGCCCCACCCCTGCCCCGCCGCTCCCCCTCCACCCTGCCTTGCCTTTTTTCTTCCTCTCCAGCCCTTTTCACCATCTGACATTATATTCTACTTACTTGTTTATAATCTGGATCCCCGAGTAGAATGTAAATTCCATCAGGCAGAGGCTCGTATATTTTATTTCTAAATCTAAAGCACAGTACTTATCAAATAGTAGGCCATCCGTAATATCTGAATAAACGTGGGCACAGGTGGCTGGGTAAGGGATTTGCTCCAGGTCACACAGCCAGTTGTTGCTACTAGAAGGTTTAAGTGTGTAGATATCTGTCCCTCGTTCTTTCTGGTATCGCTAACCCCTGTTGCCTTTTCGTTAACTTGACTTTAACTTTAAGCTTGATCTTACCCATATTCTCTGAGTTTGGCTTTGCTTTTGACCACTAAACTCAGATTAATACTGTTCCTCCTCCAGCCTCACCCCTCTTCTCTCCCCTCTGCTCACTTATAGGGTCTGTTAATTAATCACTATGGTGTTTATTAAGCACTGAGTCAGATGCCCAGCATTACCATATCGTATGAGAAGTGGACGCAGGGAGAAGACATGCTCTTCTCTGAGGGATGTAATATTAGCCCCTTCTTCTCCGTGGTCTTTGTGCTCTTGCAGTTCTAGTTACCTGTGATCTTTCCTTTTGGTCCCTGCCTTGGAAATCAGTCATAATTTACCTTCATTTGAGCTTCACAATAACCCAGCTGTAGCAGGACCCAAGTAAGGAGAGATACTCCAAAGAGACATTGATGAAGTTAGTCCTACACACAGACTGAAAGGAAGTGTGAGAGCCACAGGAGAAAGAAGCATGAAGCAGCAGTGTGAACACACGCGAGAGTGACTGGCAGTAGAGCGTGTTACTAGTAGGGAACTACACGTGACAGAAAAAATCTAAAGATGGTGACAGAGTATCTGTGAAAAGTAGATACATGCGAGACCTCTGAGCTGGTGTGTCGAGCTAAACAACCTAACAAACGTTAAGTGTATTTGTCAGGCATGTACATTGTGCAAGGATGCTGTCAAACTACTCTTCAAATATTTTCTTTAACTTCTAGGCTTTTGCAGATATGCTAAGAGTGAACAAAAATTTGAAGAGCTTAAATATGGAGTCCAACTTCATTACAGGAGCTGGGATTCTAGCACTGATTGATGCTTTGAGAGATAACGAAACCCTGGCAGAGCTGAAGATTGACAATCAGGTCAGTGTTCCATGTCAGCGGCTTGGAGGAGACTGCAGCCCACACGGTGCAGGGCTTAGGGGACTCAGGAGGTGGGTGGGTGGAGGGCTTTCTGGGAGCCCTTGGGAAGGTGGTGGCCTGAAGGGAGGGAGAGGACATCTAAGGCATCCAGAATACTAACTTCATGTGTAGAGAGGTATACAAGCCACTCCCCTTGACTGGTATTCAGAGAATTTAGATGGGCGGCTGTTTAGGGTGGAGGGGGGCAGAGGGGGGACTAGGTTTATTTATTTGTTTAACGGAGGCACTGGGGATTGAGCCCAGGACCTTGTGCCTGCTAAGCACACACTCCCCCTGAGCTCTACCCTCCCCCACAATGGCTGTTTTGAACTGGAAGGAGTCTTACAGGTGACACTCCCATCCTCAAACTTTTCAGCTCTTTGGTGGTAAGAGCCACATAAGAGACTTTTTGTATCTGTAGCATGTCACAGCCCCAGACACAGCAGATGAACGGAAGAGGCTCAGTGAAAAACAGGAAGCTCCAGAACCCAGGCCGCCCTGAGGGCACAGGCTTCTGTCCAGCCACACTCAGTGCTGATGCCATGAGACAACGCGGGTTACCCACGCCCAGACGAGCTTTTCTTTAAAGAGGCCGAGAAGTTTACGTTAGAAATGTTTCCATTCAGAGTGGCAATTAACTAAAAATAAAACAACATACACATTTGACTGAAATACTTCAGTTTGGAAAGTAATTTCAGTTATTTCTTTAAGGTGGTAAATGACTCCCTTAGCCCTTGAAAAAATAAGTACATTTTGTAGATTATGAAGGTAGAAAGGTTTCTATCTTAAAATTTAACCAGAATGCTATTTAATCAATGTTTTCCATTTTTTATTGAGATAGAATTCACTCTTTTATAGTATACAGTTAAATGGTTTTTAGTATATTCATAGAGTTGTGCGACCATCACCGTTGTCTAACTCCAGAACATTTTTATCACCCTAAAAAGAAACTCCAAAACCCATTAGCAGTCACTTCCTATCCTCCCCTCCCACCAGTCCCTGGCAACCACTAATCTGTTTCAGTCTCTATGCATTTGCCTATTTTGGACAGTTCATATAAATGGAGTTATGTAATGTGTGATCTTTTGTGTCTGCCTTCTGTCACTTAGCAAAATGTTCTGGAGGTCACTCATGTTGTAGCACGTATCAGTACCTATTCCTTTTTATGGCTGAATAATCTATTACACTAACTTTTTGGATTTTAGAAATATGCTGCTATGACCATTCATACACAAATTCTTACACGAATATATGTTTTCATTTCTCATGGGTATATACCTAGGGGTGGAATTGTTAGGTCATATGGTAACTCTTTGCTATTTTTTTTCCTTTTTTTTTCAATTTGCATTTTTTTATTGAGTTATAGTCAGTTTACAATGTTGTGTCAATTTCCAGTGTAGAGCACGATTTTTCAGTTATACATGAACATGCATATATTAATTGTCACATTCTTTTTCTCTGTGAGCTACTACAAGATCTTGTATATATTTTGCTGTGCTATACATCTTACGCTATTTAATCAGTGTTTTCAGTATCATCAACTCAGCGTTTTTGAGGGATAGCCAAATCGTTTTCCATAATAGCTATATTGTTTACATTTCTGCTAGTATCCCTGAAGCTCCCAGTTTTTCCATATTCTTCCCAGCAATTATTGTCCATCTTTTTAATTATGGTCATCCTAATCCTAGTGGGTATGACATGGTATCTCATTGTAATAATGCACTTTTTTTTATGTTTGTATGATCATACATAAGAGAAACAAAATATAAGTTTCATATAATGTTGAAAGAATTGGGAAAATTTTAAAAGAATCAGCATGTACCTGAATGTCTTAGCCTTGAGTTACCGTGAACAGTATTTTGATCTAATTTATTAATACGATTCTTTATTTCTAATTATTTCAGAGGCAGCAGTTGGGGACAGCTGTAGAATTGGAAATGGCCAAGATGCTTGAGGAAAATACCAATATCCTTAAATTCGGATATCAGTTTACGCAGCAGGGACCCCGAACCAGGGCAGCTAACGCTATAACAAAAAATAATGACTTAGGTAAGTCATTATTTATAAGTCGCTATAAAACTGAATTTCTGAATTGTATCTCTAAGCTAATGCATTGGAGGAGCTTTTTTTAAAAATAAATATTAACACAGGAAGATCACTTGGTCTTTGTTTGTAAAACCTGCACAGCCCTTTTCATACTGACTGAATTAGAGTTCAGTTCAGATGAGGCTGCAGTGATTAGGTGAGCAGGTAAGATCAGCTTCCTACGGCAAACGTGTTTCGCAGCTTTCAGTGAACCAGTTTTCTACAACACACATTATTAAACAATGCTGCCTATAACAAATACTTTGTTCTCAGTTTCAAGTCACCTCTTGGAGCTATTAAAACAAAGATTTCAACATTACAGGAAAGTTTTGCCCTTTGATCAAACAGGCCTAGATAGAAATTCAATTTTACATGGGAAGATACAGAATAATTGTAGTTTTAACCCAAGTTTTCAAGTCAGTGTGATGTAAAGATTTGCTCTACTTACTTGTTGCCCTGACCCCGCCATCCCTGGGCGGTGTGTCCCCTCGCTGCGCACATCTAGGTCAGCAATCTCCTTCCCTCGCTCCTGTTGAACTGCTGAGGCTTATGGATTCCATTAAAAACAACTTTTCCAGCCAAGGCTGAACTAAAGAATATGATGCTTATAATTTTGTTTCTACGTGTTTACAGAAATTGACTTTTAAGTTTGTGTTTATCATTGAAATAGTTTAAAAGATGCATTTAGACAAGAATTAAAATAAGACTTCTTAAAGGGAGTCACATTTTACTGTGATGATACTGGGATTTGAGAGCCAGTGTAGGCCACTGAGAGCATGATTTAAGTGATACTTCAAAAACAGCATTCTTACTACTCTTCTAGAGATAGAGAGGAAATGAGATTAGTTAGGACTTACTGGCAATTGACTCATCATGAAGTACTGAGGACATATATTAGTGGAGCAGGTTTGGGAAGAAACTGCCAAAGAATTGTTAATGGGGCCAGACTTATGAGTCTCATGGGGAGGACGCACTGAGGAACTGCTGGGGTGACAAGGGCACCGAGTGAGAAAGTCGGCAGGGGCTCTGCCCGTCTTCCTCTGCTGTGTTCCGTAGCCTCCCATCCATCCACCCTCAGCTTGATTTTTTTTTTTTAAGCCTTCCTTGCACTTTGACCTCTGTCTGTAGGTCAAGGTGGCAAGCCTAAAGACCATGTTTTCTTACAGTCAGTCTAGTATGTGGTAACTGAAAGGAATGTCAAAAAACAAGGCTTGAAACTTGCACCACATCTCTTGGGCGTATAATCTTTCTTCCCCTTGCAAATGGGGCTGTATTAGAGCTTAGTGTTCTGATTCTGATAACGTCTTTCCCTCTCTCTTCTTGTTTTCTTAGTCTCAACTTTTCTTTGAAATAATCCTACGTATTCGCCATCTCTCCAGCTGAGACGTATCACAACTATAACAGCAAAGGTTATCTGGAGTACGTGCGATACTCAGTCGAACTTTGCCTCACGTTACTGTCTTCACACTACTTAGCTGCATAATCCATTTTCTACATCTTTTTTGTTTGTTCCATCTGTCCTGTCGATCTTGTTTATAATGTGCATTTTTTGTAACATGCATTGTAGTATTTGAAATGGTCTGCCAATAATATCCAAACACTACTGCAACTCAGAATTTTCTTGAAAATGCCCCACCCTAAAGAATTATGTCGCTTGCCTTTCAGATGTTTCTGTGTCGTTCGGAGATCTATATACATGAATTAAGTTTGTGTTTGAGGGCTCAGTTCTCCATTTGATTTTCTTCCCTTTTCAGTAAACACAGGAAACTGTTAGACCAAAATTAGGGTGCAGCTAGTTGGATACGTGTGAAAGTGCTCAAGGGAACTTGGTACTTCAGCCCTCCTGGTTTTTTCTTTCCAGCTAGCGTCCAGCCGTTGGCTTTTATGCACATCACTTGACTGGTCCCATCTCCTGAGGGCCAGTGATCAGAAGCCAGCAGTCAGAGCAGCATGGAAGCAGAATCTGTGGCCTGGCCAGAAGGCCAGTGCCCCTGTTGGCTTTTCACTCCTCTGTTAAACAGCAAATTCAGGCTGAACAAAAGCACTTGTCTTTCTACTTGCTTCCACAGAAGAGAGCACAGAAATTAATAAACCAACAACTATCAAAGCCAGATCCTTGTAACTATAAAAGATGAATTGGCTTTCCCCACCTGAAAAAGATGGCTGACCTCAGGACCATCCGGTAACCCCACTGTGGTGGGTGAGGAAGCCGGGGACCCTTTGTTGAACGCTTTCTGTATTCTCAGTCCTGCCCTAAGCAGCGGGTCATGCCTTTGCTTGTACAGCAGGGGGTTAAGATACCATTATTCTCCTGTTACAGAGGATGGGTTGAGGCTCAGAGGGGAACTTACTTGCCAGAGAGCACACTGCACACAGCGACAGAGCCATGGCTCAGTTTGTCGCTGACGCTGGAACCCGTGCTCTTTGTCCTAAGTAGGAGTTGGCCGCGGTGCCGGGGTGCCCTGACCTGGTGGCTCTCAGCGAATGCTCCCTGTAGCTGACGGGGAGATCTGACGCTGAAGCCCGGGCGGGCCCTGCCGCTGCTGCGCACTGCCCAGCGGGCCCGGGTCGCCAGGCCACGAGGAGGCTGAGGGTCCTCGGAGGTGCACCTTTGTTCACCCCGTTAGCTGAGCGAGGTGGCTGACCACCTTGGGGCTGAAGCCGATAGTAGCCAGATGTGACATCACCACATTACCAAGGTCTAAGGTTTTCATTACTTTGTTGTTTATCAGAGCCCTGAACTGGGTCCCTTCAGAGGAGTTAAGAGACGGAAAATCTGGAGAGCAGTAGTAACAAATCACTTACCTATAAAAATGACAAGGCTATTTTTGGTGTGTTCTTTCTCAGACTAAGGAGATAATCAGAAGAGCATGCAAATACTTACTTTTTTAACACTTTCTAATCCCAGCTGCCTGAATGTCATTCAAAATTTAACACAGTAAGTTATTAATCATTTTTTAATGGAGGTATGAATTTTTTTAATACACAAATGAGACAGGCACAGTGACTTGAAGGTGACTGCTGACCGTTCTGGTTTAGATTTCTAATCACTGCTGTGTAAGCACAGCTGAGCTCAGCCCCTCAGTTCTCGACAGGTGAGTGACCATGTGAAGGATGGGAATTTCTTATTTTAATGGCCATGTGAACTGCAGGTGGACGTTTCATTTTTGTACAATTATAACCGGATTACATAGAAACTTGTTTGTCACAAGCAAATTAACATTGTACAAACTAACAGGGATTTCACCATTATTTTCCTCATAGTTCGCAAGAGACGAGTCGAAGGAGACCAGTAAGTCCGCCAACGTGTGATCTTTGGAAGACTTCGAAAGGTCGCCAAGGGCTCGTGTTGTGGTATCAGATGTAAAATTTTCCTAGGTAGAAGGGAAGAGACTGGAAATCCTTTTTTTTTCCTTAACTGCATATATCTCTTTTTTAGTTTAAGTTGTTACCAGTTTCAAATTGTAAATCAATTATAGGTGATATTTTGTATTCTAAAGCATTATTTCTACTTTCTGCTAAAATCATTTTTAATTTAGCTTAATTAAATGGTTTATGATGAGTCTCGGGTTAAAAAAATACAATTGTAAAAAAAGTCTAGGAAATCATTATGTAGAATAATGAACATTTTAAGGACCAATCTTTTTTTAAGTGAAAAAGGGACATTGCTGATGTGAGAATTGCTGTTGCACCTCTTGGGCACAAGGCGCTTCAAAACTTCCCTTATTCCATGGCATGTAGACTTTTCCATGTTTTAAAACACATGAACTTGGCAAGAGTGTGCTTTTTGCTTCATCAAGAAAGCAAATACTTTGCTTTAAAAGTATAGTTATATATAGTTTTTCATTTTAATAATGTGGGCATTATTAAATTTTCATGAACACTCATAGTAAAAGAAAGCATCTGAGTAGGAAAGCTGTTTCCTTCCCTGTGAAATGCACACAGCCAATTTTCAGATATTTAGGATAAAAGAAAAAAGAAAGCTTTTGTTAGACACATGGAATCAGGGGTAATAAACGGTAGAGACTGCCTGAGAAGCACGCACACTGGGCATTTAAATTGATGGTTACTGTAAAGGAAGGTGGAGGCTGGCCTGGGTGCAAGGTAAGAGTGAGAAGCTCCCGCGTGCGACGCAGAACTGCCTGAACGGCGCGCAGTCCCCACTCACTACCAGTTTTCCAGCCAGTAAGGAAAACAGCTGTTCTTGGTAGATCTAATTTTTATTATCTTGTTTCTTCTTGTACTTTTTTGTCCGTATTGTATAAAAGTAATTTCTCATAAGTTGTCTTCCTCAAAGTATTCACACCCACAGTTGGACAGTGTACTGTGGTGGGAAGAATGACCCCAGAGCCAGGAGTGGGAGCGCTGATGTGGAGCTAATTCACGCGTGCCTCGGGGCGGCCCCTGGAGCAGGAGACCCCTGAGGCACTGCAGCTACAGAGGACAGGGGACAAAGCAATCAGCAATTCAGGCCTGGCTGTATCATTTACAGGGAGATTTTTCAAAAGGAGAGAATATCATTTCAGAATAGGAGGAAGATGTGTTGTTAATTTTTCTAAAACTTCTTGAAATTGAGTTACAACACGTCTGCTCCTTTGGCTTGGGCTGGACAGTTTATCTAATGAGCACAGGCAAAAGCTTTCCTCAGACGAACTGACTGCTTTTTTGAAAAGTAGTATCCAGTGTTTTAAAGGGGCCAAAGATTGACTTGTACTATTCCACTGTTCCCTTTCAGTTACAGGGTGCTGGGTTTGATTTTTTTCAAGTTAGCAAGTCAGGCTCACGCTGACTCGCTCTCCCTCACTTTTTCATAAATGACTTTGGAAATGTACTCGATTCAGAGCCAGCACAGCCCCAGCAGGGTGGGGCGTCAGGGACACAAAGCCACGGTTACACTTCCTGCATGGCTGCCTCGCTTGCACTGCCCTGTAAGTCAATAAATTGTTAAGTATGTTACCCCTTCCTCCCGTAAGTTCTTTTCAAAATACAGGCAGGTGGGACCTCACCTAGAATTGTGTATCATACTTATGGGTAATACCTTTTTCACTTATTTATCAAAGTATGAAGAAGCTGAGTTTTTTGCTTGTACCATTCCACTTCTGAGCTACAACAGTTCATTATATAATTGAAGAAAAGATTTCTTAATAAATAACTAAGGGTGAACATTCATCCAACTGAATACAGACAAATCTTTCAAAAACTGTAATTACAAGGGAGAAAACTAGTGTTTACTTTGATCATTAAAAATCTGGCACCTCTTACCCTTTTAGTAACTTTCAGTATTTCTGTATTGCTCTAAAATTTTATGATAGATGAGGGTTATGAAATACTCTTGATTTTTAAACCAAAGATTTTCTAAGATCTTAAATTTTGTAGTATAACTAATTAGTCTAACTAATATAAACTTACCTGGTTATCTAAGCAAAGAATATTCTTTGCATTTTTAAATTGCTGTTTTTTTAAAAACCTTTTTTCATTTCCCATTTTATAAAATTTTATACTCATATTTGTCTGATATTCTAATTTTTCCAGTTTGTCTACATGAAATTACATATTAAAAGTCAATAATACTGATATTATTAAAATGGGTTTTGGTGCTATCTACTTGTAGCTAAAGGCAGGTAGAAGTCTCAAGTACAGGTGAAATAAATTTTCTAAGGGTGCCTGTCATTTAAAAGACCAAATAAATATTTTGTGTTTAAAAAAGTTTTAACAGATTGTTAGAGATTTCAAGGGGAATTACCTTGGTCATTAAATTGCGAATTCTTATATCTGAATGAAATATCCCAAAATACTTGCTTTGTACAGTAGGGACCCACTGGAAAAGTTACATGTATAGAACTTTGTAAATTGTTTTCCCATTGACAGTATCTCACTTTTTTTTCATTTAAAAAGGGGATTCCATGGTATAATGAAAATTAAGAGAAAAAAAGTTTTGATAAAATGTTAGTCATGGTCTGTTGTACATTATATTTAACCCTTGCTGTCATTAAAATAAGATTAAAAGGTAAGATTAAAAGAGGTTTCATAAAATTAAATTTTTGGCTCTTTGTTGCCAGGGCTGCCTCATCTTTTCTTTCTAAAATCAGGAATCACACTGCTACCTCCCAGCAGACATGAGGATCATTCTTTTTCTGGCGTCCATAGCAATTTCCAGTCTCTGTTTGGTACTGTCCAGTTTTGCTCCATCATTACAATGCCACTTCACTTTTTAAAAAAACTTTTTTCTAGTTTTATTGCTGTAATTGACATACAGCATTGTATTAGTTTAAGGTATACAACATACTGATTTGATAAATGCATATATTGCAAAATGATTAATAAAATAAGTTTAGTTAACATGTTACCTCACATAGTTTAAAAAATTTTTTTCCCTTGTGATGAGAACTTTTAAGACAGACCTATTCTGTTAGCAACTTTCAAATATGCAATACACTATTATTAACTGCAGTCACCATGTGCAGTACATCCCCAGGACTTATAAGTGGAAGTTTATAACTTTGGACACCCTTTACCCATTTCACTATTCCCCCACTTCCTGCCTCTGGCAACCACCAATCTGTTCTGTCTCTATGAATTTAGTATTTTTAGATTCTGATATGAAAGCATACAATATTTGTCTCTCTGACTTATTTCACTTAGCATCTTGAATAGTATTAACTGAAGACACGGCACCCACAAGAACCAAACACACTGAGTGTGTCACAGCAGCTCCTTCAAGGGGCCTGAGTTCTTCAGTCCGAATATCTACAAAGCTGTCATCTCCATCAGTTCTCACTGAGCATTAATGTTTCTAGCTATCTGCCATTATAAGACAGGATTTCTAGCTATTTCTCAATCAAAGGAACTCTTCACTAATTTTTAAGTTGAGAAAACTATAATAAGCAAAGATTTTTATATTATGTCATTTTAATTTGGTCAGTCTTTCTTATGTCATCTGATTTTTTTTTCTGCGTTATAATTTAATTCCATAAATCCTTCCCTAAAACACTGAATAAATCAGAGTTTTTTTTTATAAGAAAATATTTGTAACAGTTTGTTAATGCCAAACTCTAACTTGCAGTCTGATCATTGAGAGGAGCCAGTCTTGTAAACCATTGCCAAGGATTTTAGAAAGCCTTCACTGCCTTACAGAGAATTTTACTTCGGACACCTGCTCTAGTGCTGGATAAGCCACCCACCATGTTTTGTGCAGGGTCGTATGTTTTGAAGACAGTCGGACTCCTCCCCATCTTAGAGTCTACATATGTGAAGCATAACTGTCTTTTCTACAATCAGTATATTGTAATTTTTGCAAAGCAATTAAAAGGCCTAAATCTTTCTGTCAGTTACTGTAGTCCATTCAGAGAGTAAAGTTTATGAACAAATTCTGAGTGCTTTTTGATGGGTACATACAGCCATTTTTAGGAGTTTAAATTTCATCTTAACTCAGAAGTAAAGATGAGAAAGTCTTTCATTCAGCTGTTTCAACTTTTTGGATTTGTCTACTTAAGAATTGGTTTTTAAAAACTAAAAACAAAAAAAATTGCACATGAATACGCACACAGAGTATCAAAACCTTTGTAATTTCAAATAAATGCCCACCTTTTTTTCAGCCTCTTTTAGATGAATTATATTTGGTTTTAGTTATGTTTAAAAGCTTGAATATTACCTTTGTAACTGCATCATTCTTTATCACATGAAATTAGGTATTTAAATACTTTTTTTAATGCTAATATCCAAAATGCTATAAAAGCTTTACTTTTTCAATTTATATAAATATGAAAGCAGTGAATTTTATAATACTTTAAATATTATAAAATATTATTATTACTATTGGTTCATAATAGTACAGTGAAGTTTCTTTTGAAAAATATGGACTATAGGCATTTAGAATTTACCACTTGGTATTGGAATAAATTTCAATAAAGTTTATCAAATACCCTATAGACTTGGACTTTTTGGAAACTACATTCTAAAGTTCAGTCCTTGCACACCTCTTAGGAACAAGCTTACTGATTTCCCTGAGTTGTCCTATCCCACACTATTAAGTTAAACCATATAAAATAGTCAGTACTTGACCATTTATACCCACAAAAGCAGTAAGTTCATATGGTTCAATATCATACCATCAGTACTTGGTCTGGTCTGTCCGTAAAACTGAATTGAGTTGACGAATGTGAAGAAAACGGGGTCCTAGGATACAGTGCAGCCTGGACCCGGTGGGAGCCAATCCTGCTAATAGAGGTTATTTTTGCAGTAAAACAAAGGCGTCTCTTATCAGTCACCTGTATCCATCAGCCAAAAGAGAAAGTCAGTGAAATGTGTAATGGGCTTGAGGAAACTTTTAGGGGTAAACATTAGATAATTCATTTCTGAAACTTGAGGAATAAAGAAATTCCCCTTGAAGTTTACATCTGTAAAATGAGAACGGGCACCCACCCGTCGAGTTGTTCTGAGGATTAGACTTGGTAAGGCCTGTACAGCACTTGGCAAAGCCCTGAGTCTCCAGTGAGCCCTCCCGTGCTGTCCTGCGCTGACAAGGTAACAGGGCGGCGGGGTCAGTGGCAAGTTAGTGTCCTGCCAACGCAGCACGCAGGGCCCCGAACCCTGCTGGGCAGGCCAGGGAGGACACTGGAGAAGGTGATGCCCGAGCTGAACTTAACCCATCTCTGGGCTGGGCCAGGGGGACGGGGTGAGGCAGAGCAGCAAGGATGCACGACACCCAAGACCCAGAGCAAACAGTCATCAAAATAAGCTTCTATTTGAGAAAAGTGGATTTTCTAAAATCACAAACTTACTTATGAATATTTTTTTTAATTACAACTAGGATTATGCAAAAGCAACTCAAGTCCTCATTTGAATCAAAACATTTCGTCACTGTCTTTACCATATTTACAGTGAGTGCACGTTTTATGCTTCAGTCATCCTCTTCCTCTTCATGCCCTGCTTTCCTCTTTCTGGAGGGTTCACCTGCTGAACAGATACGAGAAAGAAGAGAGACAATTTTCAATACTGAACGTTTGTGGAAATTTAGTCTAAAGCAGTTGGGAGCCAATGTGGGGAGCCAGCCCTTCGCATGGGCTGACTGGCGACCTTATCCACAGACACTGTGTCTGCGGGTCCGGACAGTGGGAGCCCGGGCTGCCCGGGCAGCGGTCAGGGCCCAGGGACACTTCTCACTCCATCCTGACTGGGATTCTGCTCATGTTACTTGAATACATTCCCCTGTTCCTCAGTACTTCACTTTCTCTATGTAAAATTCAGTATTTTAAAGCCTGTCAACTATTTTTCTTAAAGGACTGCTTGTGTTTTATGTGCTTTTCTAGTATGCTTTCAGAGTTTAAAATATATTTTTCACATGAAAAGTGAGTGCCTCCCTTACGCGGTAAGGGACACTGCTCTCACTGCGATGTTTACTCGGCCCTGTAACTCCAGATCCATCGTGCAGCATGCTCAGTGTTCAGAAAACATGGCATGAATGAATGTGGCACAGTGGCAACATAGTGATTCACCTGTATAATTAAGACTTAAAATTTCTTTGGACTCGGAAGTAATTAAAGGAAAATAATTTTAATAACATGGAAATAAAATAACCCTCCACTGCTATACTCAAACACTAAGGGCACCCAGTGCCCACCATGGACACGAGGCCCCTCTCTCTACTGCACTGAACCACTTCAGGTTCTCTAGCCAAGCCCTGCTGTCTCAGGGCCATAGGTCTTTTCTCACTGGCGGGCCCACCCTAACACTCTTCCTTCAACACTGAGCAAGAGGGCACCTTCTCTGGGCAGCCCCCCACCATGCACAGGTGTCAGACCCTCCCCAGGCCAATCATTCCTGGTCCTGTTACTGGATTTATCTCCCCGGGGTTCAGGGAGCTGTGCGGACGTCTGTGCTCCTGGGCTGAGAGCCTCTTCACTCCAGGAGCTGACTTGTGGGTACAAGGCAACCCCCTTCGAACTGAATAAATTTGGTTTTACCTCATCACTGGTGAGTTTCTTTGCTTTGAGTAATCTCTGAGCCTTATCTTCCTCTGGGCCCTCACCACTGTCTGAAGAACAGATTCTGGCCTGTTCCTCTGAAAGCAAAGGAACTTTCCATATGGGATTGACCTTCAGAGATGAAGTTCCATGAATTCTCAAATTTTTCTGATGCTGAATATTTTAACTTTCCACTCTATCTTTTTCGCTTGAGGGAAACAGTTTTTTAAGTTTTGATGAAGAGATAGATAATACCTTTCAAACGCGCTTAAATGACTTAGAGTTGAAAGGTTTTGTCCTCAGATGTCTGATCACTTCTAGATACCCGGGGGGCTTTATGCACATCTTTTTTTAAAACTACGAAGTTTAAACTTTGGGTCCATCATCATACAAGCAGGCGAACTGCCTATGAACACATTTTCCTTCATAAGAGCATAAATTATTTAATTGATTTTCTTTATTCTGGGGGTGCCTTATTTACCCAGCTAAGCTTTTGTGTGGGAAAGTGGCTCTACAAAAACAAAGACAAAATAAAAGGCCTTTGTACTGTTGTCCCTGTACTGTTGTCCTAAGTGAGTAAGAGCAGGACGGGTAGTAAGGGCCCACCAGAGCACAGGCGGCCCCGAGACGGTGCAGTGTGACCGGCTCACCTTGGCACGCCCCTCGGGAATGGTTTCTGATGGCATCTCAACCTCCTCCTCCCTCTCATCACTGCTGTGGTCCTGGCAGGCGGGGCTCGGCCCCTGCTGGTTCTGCTTCTCCCGCAAATACATTGTCTCCTGGTGAGCAGAAGCCCTCAAACGTTCTTCTTCTTTCTGTAAAGAAGCAAATAAACTACTGAACTTAAAAAAAAAAACAAAAAACAACTAGCTTAGTGCCCACTTGAAACTATTTCACTACAAAGGAAATGTAAATGCCTAGCCCAGGATAACACCCATTCCCTGTCCTGGATACAGTTCTCTCCATCCGACACCTCTGTTAACCAGACACGGGCATCATCTTGTTTGGTTCTAAGGCGTGAAGACAACACAAAGGTGAAGGACAGAGGCTCCCTCACACCAACCGCCCCATCGGAACAGGCACAGGTTCGGCCGTGGGCTCAGCCGTGTCCCCTGTGCTGCCCGTCAGAGCCCAGGCAGCCGCCACCCAGCAGGTGCCTGAGGCAGGCGGTTTCTCTTCGCCCCTGAGACGGACACCTGACTTGCCCAGGCTCCACCAAACTACCGTGGTGCCCAGATATTCCTGTCTGGGCCCCTCAACCCAGAGAGCTCCCCACAGCTCCTGACGGCAGGATGCAGGACGGGGAGGTGCTGGGGGGGGTTCCCTGAGCCCCAAAGTAGAACTTTCGTTCCTGTCCATCAGCCTGGCGGTCCACACGATGGGGTTCACAAGGCAGGGCTGGTGTTAACCAAGTCAGGAATGTCCTTTGACGTTCCTACATCACTGACTACCTGGAACACAGTTTTATGATACCTGTCAAAGGTTACACTTTTTAAACCATCAGTTTGCCCTGAAATCTCACAGATTGGAGACAGAGCTCCTGAATGTCTGGAGTGCTCTACCTCACCAGTGGCCATTGGCTAGGACCAGTAATACAATTAACCACATGCTTGGAAGGTCAAAGCTAGCTCCCTGATAACTATAAGAATAAAATGGCTGTGGCAATAAGGAATGACAGATCAATATTCTGGAAAGCACAGCTCTTACTACCCTCAAAAAACCCAGGATAAAGCTCAGGCAACATACCTTAATCATCTCTATGCGTTGGCATTCAGGATCACGACCAGCCATTGGTAAGATTCTAATCTTCTGTATCCCCGAGCATCTATTAGCAAGTGGCAGGGTCATCTTTTTATGCGTGGCATAGTCTGTAGAGTGAGGTCTGCGGGAAACAAACAAAAAAGTCTCACTGTATAATAAGAACAGTTGTTGGCAATAGTGCCAACAGCAAACAGCTGTGGACAAAGACATGTCCCTTTAATGGAGCAGAGTGGCAAGGCCACAGTACTGGTGCTTTAGGGCCTTCCTCCTTCTCTGGCTTCCTAAGCAGTTCCCCCTTTAGCCCTGCCTCCCAGGGAAAGCTGATGGGGTGAAGTGGGAGTGGAAGGAAGGAGGAGATGGTGGGGTCCAAGGCTTTTATAAAGAAAACCCGCAAGTACAATCACAGAAGAGACGACATGGGAGATCGTAGTTCCATGAAGGTGGCACAGAGGCCAGAAGGTAGAATTTTTTTTTAATGAAGGTACTGGGGATTGAACCCAGGACCTTGTGCATGCTAAGCACATAATGCACCGCTGAGCTGTACCCACACACCCTGAGGCACAACTTAAGTCCCTCCATCTGGACAAAACTTGAAGAAAAATGAAAGCAAGGAGGCGGGTCGCAGGAGGGGAGCAACATGACAGCCCAGAGGGACAACAACAGCTGGAATAGGAGGCCCTGGTGCAGAAAGCCGCGGATTCCTCACTAATGGAAGGCACATCTTAGGAATCATCCTTAGGGAAATCACAAGGAGAGTGTGGCTGTAAGGAATGAAACTGCACTGGGCAGTCAATATCACCCCCACGTGGAGGAGCTCGGGGCACAAGAGAGGAAAGCACACTGTGGAACTGGTTGTATGTAGGATGCCGGCCTAGCAGAGATCATCAAGGGCCGGACTGGAGCAGTATTTCTTGTGCATGGCATGATATTTTTACGTATTACTTGACTCAGTGGATAGAGCACCCCTCTGAGGGAGATGTTATCTCCATTTTATAAGATAAGGAAACTAAACACTGCTGAGATTGAGACTTCCTCAAGCTTACACGAGCATTAGTGAAACACAACCCCAGAGCTGTCTGCTGCAGTCTTTGAAACAGCAACATCTTTCTGGAGTATAATTTATATACCATAAAACTCACTCATTTTAATAAATAATTAAAGGATTTTTTAATTTATCAAGCTGTGTGATCTGTACCACAATCTGATTTAAAACATTTCCATGACCCCAGAAAGGACCCTTGCGCGCACCGTGACAGTCTTCTAAGAGCCCCGCTTCTGAAGGGAGGCCGCACAAGGGCCAGTGCGTCCCGCGGAGGGAAGGCGTGAGCAGGCACGCGAACCGCGAAGAAAAGATGCGCGCGCGGCACTGGGCGCCGGCCGCTCGAGCTCAGTGCGCAGCCGCAGCACCGGCCGGCCGGCCCTTTCCTCTGGCGCATGCGCACTGCAGGAGCCGGCGCCCCGGGTAACCGCCCGGGACCAGACCGCGGGCCTGGGGGAGCGGCGGCTCGGAATCACGTCATCTCGGCCGACTCGGGCTTTTTGCACACCCAGGCTCTCTGCCTTGTTGCTCTTAAACTGCAAGGAGCAATACGTCAGTACGAATAGTTACCTAAAGGTGAGTTTGGATTTGAAGACGGCTTGTCCCCGCAGACCCGTGTCTTCGCGAATGAACAGGTGGTTGTAATTGCCCAGCAGCGGGGCTTTGTAGACATCAAACACCTCACTGCCTAAGTGCAGGGACAGGCTGGAAACGAGAAGTCGTCCAGTTATCAGGGTGGGTATCGAGCGAACCCTGCAGCTTCCATTCTACCCCATTAGCTGTTCTTAAACTGCTGTGGGACTGCAGGGTCCCATCCTCTACTGAACTCCTAAGGAATGCGAAGAATTTACCGTCAACAGCTAAGCTACCTTCTTTCCAAATAAAAGGTGGTAAAAATCCATCCTCCTTTCAGCCAGAAATAGAATTTTTTTTATCATTTTCCCACCCTCTACCTCTTTTATTAGTAAAAGAGAAATCTTTTTTTTTCAAACATACCAATTTCTAATTTCTAATAGTCACATTTGGGAGCTAACATTGGGCTTTCACTTCAGTAAGGTAGATACCATGAGTCTAATCACATCTTGGGTCTATTTGTCTCCCTCCAGCACAGCACTGTGCTCTCGACCCTATTTATTCCTATCAGGTGATGCCAGAGGCCTAGATTTTGTTAATTCTTTCATGAAAGATGACCTACGGTCCTACACAGAAAACTTCAGTCTTCCCAGGCCCCCCACCACCACCCAACCCCGGAACTTCCATGCTCTCCAGGACTTTATGCTCACCTCCCATCTGACCACTTGACTATCCGAGCATTGCTTTCTTTAATTTTATTTCCTTCTTTGTCCCGGCGTATCCTCCATCGTAAAGTATTTTCCACCTGATTCAAAACACAAAGGCATTAGAAAATCAGTGTAGGGGGGAGGGTATAGCTCAGTGGTAGAGTGTATATGCCTAGCATGCAGGAGGTCCTGGGTTCAATCCCCAGGACATTATAAATAAACCTAATTACCCCCCTCAAAAAAAACCCCTAAAAATAAATTATTAAAAAAAGATCAGAGATTTATTAGCTGTGAAAGAAGAAAAGACAGAAAGAAAGAAACAAAGAGACCAGTGTAACTATGTGTTCTTTTTTCCTCAAGTGATTCATACTCATGTGCCAAGGATTCATAGGCAGTGATAGAATAATCTCACCAAAAAAGAGCTGATTGGGCTCCTCCTGCCACAGATACCTCGAATATTGGTTAAACTCACCAGATGTTCTGTGTAAATCTTCTCTGAGCTTCAGTTCATGGCAGTGGAAGTGGAAATTTGGGGACCACATGAGGTAGGTAGGCAGTTAAAGCAGGGCCTTCTGCCTACTGCAGCCCCATTTGAAGGGCTATGAACCCAATGAAAGAAGGACTAAAAAAGTGCCCATTCGCCTAGTAAAACAGGGAAGCTCTGGGCATTAAATTTTAGAAATGTTTAAAAGAATATACAATTAAGTAATTAACAACAAATTAAAACCTGAGGTGTGTGCTTTACCCTACCCATGTGGCAGGGAACTCCAAATCATAAAAATGGAGCCCGCCACTGCTACCACGGGGGCCCCGGCAGAAGCTCACAGAAAACCCCCTTAAAGATGACACGTCCCTGTGAGAGCAATGGTAGGGCTTTGCCAGCCAGGCCTTCTGGAGAGGAACCCCCTAACGGCGACGAGGCCTCTTTCTGTGCATAATCTGAATTTCCATAAAGAGCCTGAGATACCCTTATTGTGGGAAGTTGCTCAGACCTCTCCACTGTAAAATTGGAGGCAGTTTTGTACATCTAGCTACATTATTTATCCCGAAGGAAGTAGCTGACAATTTTCAAGAATTTTTATCTGTTCTTCTGTCAAAAATTACAACTGCAAAAGAAAGGTTAGAAAAGTGACAATTCTACAGGGATTTTTAAAAAAGGGTATGTACCTTCTCCCCTAGAAATATTCTGAAAAGACACTTAATTCCTTGTTCTAAACAGTTATTTGTTGATTCAAGAGTAAACATAAAAGACCATTTCATAAGCTCAAGTCTCAAATTGTTATCCTTGTGTTTTACTTTATAAAAAGAAAAACGTTACAACAACAACAACCAGGAATCAAGTGTTGGTACCTTTAATTTTATCCTGGTTCTATCTTCCTCGTCAAGCATTTTCTCATCTTCAAATTCATCTTCATAATACTGAGGATCAAAAGGCCTAAAAATTGTTTTTAATGTAGTATTAGCCATTTGTAGTATTGAATATAATACTATCAAATAATAATCTTTACATCTTTAGCATACATTAAAAAAATCACAGTAGACAAACTTCATGTAAAACTTCAAAGTATGCAAATTATTATCACTTCTTGAAATTTGATTTCAAAACATATTACCAAATGTGACGACTGATTCAAAGTTTTTAAATTTTTTTTTGTTCGGTGAAATGTATCTTCTATTTTTTCATATTTTTAAAGAAAAGTGTCATGTTTAATTGCATAAGAGCTTATACTCATGCATCTTCATGAATAATACCAACCAATACTATTTTATTGTCCAAAATCATTGTCTTTTCTAGATTCACAATGGCTTTTGCATTTAACACTAGTGATTTCTCTAGCAAACTTTCTACGCTTATTTTACAATTTTTCCAGCTTTATCAGCTATGTCTGTTCGTTTATAAGGAAGTGCCAAAATGCTAGCAGAATTATCAGCATTAAAACTTTTCCCACAGTAATTCATCATTTTTCTACTATAGCACATCCTAAATTTATTTTTTTTAAAGCCACATGAGAAACCTCCCATCTTGCCGATTAGCCAACTCATTATAAGAAAACATTTACGTTCCACATATTTTTTACTCAATATCTTGGGGGGGGAACTCTTTTATCAGTCCTCTTACTTGGGTTCTATGCTGAGAAATCTGGGTAGTTTAACAAAGTACAATACATTTCCTAAATCAGAGTAGATACTGGGAATTTCTACTTCTATTTTGGTTTCAGAAATCGGCTCTTCCTCCTGCTGGTCCTGCGGCACTCCACGTCCATCCTAAGAGAGGAATCAGAGGAATCAGAACGTGAGAGCTTGAGCTGACGTGAGAAATGCTCTGGCTCCCCTTCTGCACTGTGCAGATGCAGGTTTGACAGAAGTCAGTTTAGACACCACTTCAGAAACAGAGCAGTCAGCAACCAACCCCTCCAGGCCTCTCCTTAAAATTTCATCCTTTCCTCCCCTCCTCCCCCCAAACCACCATGCAAAACAAGATCTGGTAGCCTGCATTACCAGAAAAAAGTCTCGACACATCTAGCTTGCATAAGATGTTTAACAACAGAAGTGTGAAATTATGCAACCCCTCAATACGAGGTAACTATTTACATCACAGAAGAATGTCCAGAAACACACACTCCTTGGCACAGGTTTGAGTAAGAAAAACTTAAAGGTTTTCAAATGAGTTCTCACAGTCTAGTCCCTAAAGTTTGGTATGAGACTCATTCTGAGCAGTTCCTTCCATTCCCTTTAATATCCAGAAATTCCCAACATAGTTAAGTCACCTGTTCATCAGATATTTCAGACTGCTACTCATTATCCATGTCCTCTCTGTTCAAGAGTTGGATCCATCAGCCTCTGAAACCTTTTCTTAGCTTTGAACAATGGGACCAGTTGAGATTAGTGACTGTACTTACAACAGGCTGTCCTGGAATAGGTGGTTGATTGTCCCCATCACTCTCAGAAGAAATGTCATCTATGTCTCCGAACAGGTCCATGGTCCCACTATAATCTTCAATGTTGGGAGAAAATGCCCAGTATTAATTTCTCTGACTGAAACCCTTAACACAGTTCTCAGCCCATCACCTCAACATATTCCCAAGATTCATAAACCAACCGGAAACTGGCTTGGCTCCCTGAGTCTGGCCGTCAGAAGCCTGACAAGAGCATCTGCGGAGAAGGAAGGTGGCAAAGTTGGTTGGTGGAAGGCAAAGTTGCTGTGACAGCCAGCTTTCAAGAAGGGGACGGTGACTCCTGCCTCTGGTATTCTTGCCCGTGTGCAGTCCCCTCCAACACTGTGTCGTGGTTGGTCTATGTGGGCAATAGAATACAGCCTCGCTTCCAAGGCTGGGCATGACATCGTGGCTTTTCTGCCTCACTTTTTCCCTGGGGTCACTTACTCTAGAGGAAGCCAGCTGCCATGATGGGAAGATACTCAAACTGCTCTGGAGAGGTTCCTGTGGTGAGAAACTGAGGCCTCCTGCCAAGAGCCATGGGAGTGAGCCATCTTGGAAACAGACCCTTCAGCCCCAGACCAGCCTTTACATAACACAGCCTCAGCCAACATCTTGATTGCAGTCTTGTGAGAGACCCTGAGCCAGAACCACCCTGCTAAACCATTCCTGACCCTCAGAAACCATGAGATATATTAATGTTGTTTTAAGCTGGCTCTCTTAGGGTATGGAGTTGGAGAAACTGAGGGGTGGTATGTAGGTCACACAAGATATATCTGCTCTGACACACCTATCTCCCTAAGTCTTCGGATTCCCACAAATTGACTAAAACGTGGGCAGAACACCTGGATGGGCTTTTTTCCCAAAGAACATGCAGAAGGCTAACAGGCACATGAAAAGATGCTCAACATCACTAATCATCAGAGAAACGCAAATCAAAACCACAGTGAGATATCACCTCACACCTGTTAGAATAGCTATCATCAAAAAGTCTACAAATAGCAAGTGTTAGCGAGGCTGTGAAGAAAAGGGAACCCTTGTACACTGTTGGTGGGAATGTAAATTGATGCAGCCACAATGAAAAACAGTATGAAGTTTCCTGAAAAAAACCTAAAAAATTCCTACCATATAATCCAGCAATTCCACTCCTAGGTATATATCTGGAGAAAAAAAAAAAAGACCAAAAACACTAATTCAAAAATATATATGTACCATAATGTTCATAGCAGCATTGTTTATAATTGCTGAGATATGGAAGCAACCTAAGTGTCCATCAACAGATAAATGGATAAAAAGAGATGTGGTATATATGTACAATGAAATATTACTCAGCTATAAAAATGAAATTCTATTTGCAACAACATGAATGGACCTAAAGGGTATGAGTAAAATAAGCCAGAGAAAGACAAATACTGTACAGTATCACTTATATGTGGAATCTAAAAAATAAATCAGTGAAGATAACCGAACAAACAGACTCCCAGTTATAGAGAACAAACTAGTGGTTACCAGTGGGGAGAGGGGTGGGGGTGGGGGTAAAATAGGAGTAGGGGATTAAGAGGTACAAACTACTGTGTATAAAATGAATAAGGTACAGTGATGTCCTGAACAGCACAGGGAAGATAGCCAATATTTTGTAACTTTACATGAAGTATAATCTATAATTATAAATATTTGAGTCACTATGCTGTACTCTTAAAACTAATATAATATTGTAAATCAACACTACATCAATTAAAAAAAGTTACACAACATTGTAAAATGATTATAAATCAATAAAAAATGTTAAAAAAAAAAAAAGTTCCCTCAGAGAGGCAAACTGTTTCCCACAGGCAAGGGAGGCTCAGAGGAACTAGGAAATTTGTTTCTCAGCTTCCTCTGAGTCCAAACAGATAACCCCACCCCTAGTTTCTTTCTCAATCAGTGCCCTTTCACGTGAGAGACTTGAAGAGGCTGTGAAGTCAACGATGCTGCAGTTCTGCAACCACACAAAAATATGTTTGATTTTCAGCTACCTCAGTGTTCTGACTACAGAATAAGAGATTTCTTCAGCGCTGTCGTGAATCCTCCCTGGTTCTCTGACCATGACTTAAGCTGAAGTTTAAAGATCGAGGCTTGTAAACTCTCTGTAAGTGTTCCAGGGCGCTGGGAAGCATCCATCCCACAGCGCGGCCCTGACCGTCGTCAGGACTGCCTAACAAGCGCAGCAGCCTCTTGAGCCTGCAACCATAGGGACAGCGAGACCCGTCACGGGGCCAGGGCGCACCCTGGGTCACCAGCATCCTGCTTCCCACTGGTGAGGAGCTCAGACCTGCATTCAAACCCAAATCGATCTACACGTCTCACCTTCAGGAATTTGTTTCCTGGACTATCCAGACAGGCCCTAGTTGGGCAACAGGAAACATACCAGTTATCTATACAGATAGAATTTAATATTTTTTAAAATTGTAATTAGCTTTAACGTTGTTCATTAGGTAACAAAAAGTATAGAAAGCACAGAAGGAGCAAATTCAGAGAGCAGCTTCCACCCCTACAGATGAGGGAACAAAGGGAAGAGGTAGAATTATTATTACACTTAAAAAACTTTTGGGGGTGGGGGGAGGGTACAACTCAGGGGTAGGGTGGGTATTTAGCATGCATGAGGACCTGGGTTCAATCCCCAGGACCTCCATTATATAAACAAACCTAATCACCTGCCCCCCCCCCGAAAAATTCAAAACAACAATTTATATACAGGGCCCTTGGAGCGGGAACTCATACCTGAGGAGAAGTGTCCAGTTAGTTCTGATGTCTCTCAGGCTCTTCAAGTCTTGGTAAAGCTGCACACTGGACTGAGCTGCTGCAGGAAGAAACTGCCTCTGCTGGGGTGAAGTGTTGGTGGGCCCCCTGAGAAAAACTGCAAGTAAACAGGAAGCCCCTAGAAAGTTCCACAAACAAACAGGAAGGAGCAATCTCTGCTGTTATCCAGGTTTCCAGTCTTCCTTCTCTAGCGCCCCTAACAGGCAGCACCTGGCAAAGCTGAAATAAGGTTGCAGAGTCTTGCCCTTTATCTCTCAGCCTGGCAGCCTGGTATGGAGGGCTGGTATGGAGATGAGAGACAAGAGCTTAGTCACTGACACAAGTGAAAGGAAGAAAGGAAGGAAGGAAGGAAGAAAATAAATAAAATAAAAAATGAAATGAAATACAATAAAACAAAACAAAACAAAACAATACAATGTTGCCTTAGAAGGGACAGAGTCAGAATGACGGCTCTTAAAAGCCAGACATAGGGAGAGGGTATAGCTCAAGTGGTAGAGCACACGTTTGGGATGCACAAGGTCCTGGGTTCAATCCCCAGTACCTCCTCCAAATAGAAATAAATAAACCTAATTACCTCCCCCTCATAAAACAAACAAATGAAAGCCAGGCATAGGAGTTTCAACTTAGTAAGCCGAAAAATAGCAAGGGACGGAAGGCTTCTTAGGAATGTGACACAGTGGTGACTTAGGACCGTCTCTTTCCATGTCACTTTTCTTTATAACCAGGCTTCAGGGAAAGCCTCCCACGGCCACAACTGCTAGATTGTATTAACAGCACTAGATCGAGTCCGTTCATAAGGGAAAGATTAGTGTGTGTAGACCACCACCATAGAAAAGAAAAATATTTATCTTAAATATGGATTTAAAACATACCTAATTCTTTGCCATTGCTACCATCAAGGAGTCAGAATTTCCCTCCCTTTGAATATGGGCTCACATTAGTGACTCACTTCTAATGAACAGAATGTGTTAGATTCTGATGTGATTTCCAATACTAGTCATAAAAGGTAATACCAAAAATGGGCAGTACAGCTCTCACTCGGTCTGCTCTCTTGGGGTGCTCACCTTGGGAACCCAGCCTTTGCAGATGTAATTAGTTAAGATGAGGTCACACTGATTGTGGCTGGCCCTAAACCCATTGATTGGTGTCCTTATAAAAAGAGGGAGATCTGGAGACACACTGAGGCACAGAGCAGACACACAGGGAAACGATCCACGTTAAGACAGAGGCAGAGATTAGAGTTATGCTGCCATAAACCAAGGATCACTGGGAGCCACAGAAGCTAAGACACGCAAAGAAGGTGACACCTGATCCAGGCTCCAAACTGTATGGAGTACATTTCTATGGTTTTAAGCCACGCAGTTTGTGGTACTGTTACAGCAGCCCTTGCAAACGAATACAATTATGGAGGCTTTCTTTGTGCTCTTTTTCAAAACTCTGTGCCTGAGAAGGACGCCTCACTCACCTGACCTTGTCCTGGCCAGGAAGCTTCTTTGTGGGGCCTGGAAGAATTCACTGAAACTTGCGACTCAGTGTAAAGCATTAACGAAGTCAACCTGCTTTGGGAGGAGTCAATTTCTTAAACAGAGACTTGCTTTTTAAATTTTTTTTATTACAATTAAAATTACACAAGAGCAAATCAATGTATTTCAATCAAAATAACTCATGTTTACATCATATTTATAAAACAAACTGTACAATAAAATATATAGTTTTCACATTTTGCACTTCAGTCATCATCTTCTTCCTCTTCATCACTGATCACATACTTCTTATGCTTTTTATTTGCTTTATCATCATCTTCTGCTTTTCTCTTTCCAGAAGGTTCACCTTCCTAAACAGATAAAAATTTTCAAGATCTAGAAGTTCATAGAGAATAGTTCTAGAAGGGTTTATCAAAAGTAGCTCTGAGCTGAATGACCCTCTGAAAACCCAAAATAAAAGAACTGGTTTAACTAGAACATTTACCAGATGAATGAAACCAGTGGTTAAGGACATGGCCAGTTTCCACATCTGCAAGTACTGAGGTGTTCAAATATGACTACACAGAGTAATTACAAACTAACTCTAAAACCCGACTTCAGGGCCACGAGGGAGAACGAAGCGGCTGTGACCCAGTCCCGCAGAGGGACGCCGCTGTACGTGGCGGCAGGCACACGGGAAGCTGCGCACAGGCTCTGCCCTGCCAGGGGCCAGGCTCTGCCCACGAAGCCAGCCTACACAGCCCCGTGTCCTGCTGAGAAGTTTTAGCATGCTCAATCACTGAGACGTTTTAAGCATTTCACCTTTTCAGTATCTAAAATTCAGTATTTTAAAGACTGTCCGTTTTTTTTTAAATAACAATGTCTTCTTTTGGAGGTACTAAAAATTCACATTTTAAAAAAAAAACTTGAAAAAATTAAAGGCCTTCATATACAAGTTTTCACTGTTTAAAAAGTCATGTACAGTGTTCTAACAGAAACAAAGAATTCAGTAAGTTATTTAAAAACAATTTTTACAGATTCAAAGATATTGACATCTAAATAATATCAACTATTAATTAAAATGAAATGATACTGAATATGACATTCTAGAACTGCCTTAGACTCCTCACCACAAATTAAACAGGGCAAACAAACAGTTTGGAGGCTGAAGCCGGACAAGGCCAGGCCTCTGACTACCTATGCAGAGAGGGCTTCCTGGCGCAGCACACGAGCCGGCACGCCCACTTCCCGGTGGTGCCTGTGGCTGGCCCCCCGAGGAGCGAGATACCATCTCACACTTGTTTCCTGCCTTACTATCCCAAGTGTATCCCCACAGACCTGAAGCCACAGGAGAATTCAAAGGGGAAAGGTACGAATCCACAGCCGCACTTGCTCCCCAGCTGGCAGCGGTAAAGTTACCCCAACAGCAGGACTGGAGGATGCTTCCCGCCCCCAGGCCGTGACAAGCCTCCCTTCTACTCCTTGGCCTGTGGCATACGCAGATGCTTCTCTCCCAGCCCCACATCAGCAAAGGCAAAGAGCACGCTCCCTCCCCCACCACTCGTCTTTTCATTTATTTTCAGCTGAAGAATCTCACCTTACACACTTCACATGCAAGCCTGTTTGTGGCAACCTTCCCCACCTCCGGTAAACTTCAGTGTGTATGGTCTCTTCAGCTCTAACATTCTTTAATGAGTTTAAATTGAGTGAATAACAGAATAACCGGCATAGTGTTTCTTAAAGGTGGTCGAGCCCATCCTAAAGGACCCCAGGCAGGGCCCAGCGGCTGGGAGGTCAGGAGCAAGGTCAAACCTCTCCCAGAGTCTAATCAGCACCAGTTCTAATCCACTGTCTGGGGTAAGATACCCCGGAATTCTGCTTTGAAAATCCTCCCAGGACTGAGTTCCCCAGCAGCTACAGGCAGGAACAGTAAGCATGCAGGCCTGCCGCTCCCAGGACTTCGAAAGTGAGCGGCAACCTTCAGGAGACTTCATTTTGTTAAATTAGGGATGTGGGATTCTGCCTTCCTGAACTTAGCGGGAATAAGTCCCCGTGCCATGTAAATGCAACAAATGACAAAAGCACTCAGATGAACATAAAGCTTGCTAATATAGCCACGAATACAGGTCCCTATAGACATAGGAACAGGCAGCCCAGTTATGAAGGAGCCATCTTCTGTAAACTCACATTATAAACCAGCTCCCAGAGTTTAAACCAAAATATACCTAAGAATATACATAAAGAAGGGTGTCAAAGCGTCAGAGACCAACACCAAGAGTGTCAAGGCTTCCAGGGAAACACATTCAGAATCCCGATCACGGGAAAGCCCCACACCAGAGGGGCAGCTGGGACCATCCTGGTCCCAAGTCACTGACGGCTCCATGAACAGAGGGGGTTCTAACAGGCGAGGCAGCGCTGCCAAGGGGGGAGTGGGGGTTCCATGAGGCAGAGGGAAGGAGGAGGGAAGAGAGATGCAGAGAAACCAGACCACCGACACCACATCCTGGCCAGTCCTCGGCAGGTTGCCTCTTTCGCACAAGAAAGCTTGTGCGTGACGCCCTTCCTTCTCACTGTCTGCATGTTCCTTTTCACGTTCCTTACCCCCTTCCAGTGTTTCTCCTCCTACCCATCCTTTTATTTTTGGCGTTATTTAGGTTTTCTAAAGTTTTCACTGCTTACCAAAATAAGGGAAGATAAGAAGCTCTATTTGTCTATTCCTTTGTAACTTAGACCCTGACTCACAGCATGCACCGTGATACCTACTTTCATATCTGTTATTCATTATCATACAGCGACCTTACAGGGCAGCGAGCATAAACCCTACAGAACAGGTGAGAAACGTGGACATGTGAGATGACTCGCTCAAGGCCATATAAGCTGTAAAGGGTAGCCCCAAGATTCGGGAATCCAGCTCATTCTAATCCAACCCATGCCCTTTCCACCACGTCAGGGAATGTCCCAGTGGCATGGCGGCTTGGGGTCTGAGGTCTCGCTGTACCTCAGAGGAATACCTAGGCTCACAGCGCGTGGGTGGGGTTTAGTGTGCAATTAAGGAGAGGGACCTCGGGTTATGACCCCATTTCTCTTCTCTCCCCTTGTAACCCAAGCCAGGGTAACTTGAACTGGGGCGATAAGGGGAGAAAGAGGCAGAGGTTGGGAGGTGTAGGCAGAAGTAAAATCTTCATTGTCAGGAAAGGAAGTGGTTACAGGAAGACATAATAGCGAGTACTTCAGTGAGGAGGGTAGAGGGGAGCTCCTGGAACAGACAGATAGGAGGCATTTGCAAGAGACATTTTTAAGTTAGGCAGTTACAAGTCTGCAATTGCCCAGCCTAGAAGAAGGCTATTTGATGAATCACATTTTAAAGATCAACTCTCAGAATACTAGGAATAAACAGAAGTCCCTTGGCACTTTTCAATTTTCATTCAGTTTCTGCTTGCCAAGAAATAAAACAGCGTCTGCTTAGATGAAGATTCCTGTTTGCCAACGGTTCAACACACTGTAAATGCATCGTTAAGATGTTTTCTACCTAATTTAAAACAAATATGTTGCAGAATAATTTAACAATTTTTGTCTAGTTATCTTCCATAGCATGCCACTTCCAAGAATGACTGGAAAATATTAAATGTTGTGATTAACAAACAATAATGCAAGAACAAAATTCTGTTTCATAGGAGAAAAGAGCTCAAAGGAGCTCACAGTTCACAGAAGGCCAAAATGATCAAAACACATTAAAATCATGAATAAAAGGAACCCAACAATGTTCCTGCAACACAACAGAACAATCCTTTGACTAACCGTCCCACTGAAAATAACAATGAAAAAATATAAACAAACCACTGTGATGACAAGAAAAAAAGGTATAATCAGAGGCAGAAAATTCAGTGAAAGCAAGAACCCACAGAGAGAAGCAAAGCACTGAAGCAGGCTTTCTCTTGAAGGCATTTCCCTAACTGTGCGAACGTGAGCTTTGGATTTTATGCCGTGCAGAGTGCTGAGGACAGGAGACAAAGGCCAAGTGGAACAGATAAAGCAGACCCCAAAGGACTGTATCTTTAGTGTTAAGGTGACCTAGAAGTAAGCCGAGGCCCATTTCTCTGAGGCAGGGGTCAGCACACCTTTTTGATAAAGGGCCTGATAGTAAATGTCTTAGGCTTTACAAGACAGATGGTTTCTGTTGCAGCTAATCAACTCTGTCACTGTAGAAGAAAAACATCCACAGACAATATATAAATGAATAAGCATGGGTGGTTTCCAAAAAACCTTTATTTGAAAAAACAGGTGGCAGGCCAGATTAGGTCAGTGGAATGTAATTTGCCAATCCCTGTTCTAAATGACTGCAAGGCTAATTTCTAATCTCAAACATTAGAACTAATTAACAGGGAATTAAAATTTAAAATTCTAGGAGAATTCATAACCACAAGTCAGAACTCATACTTCCAATAAAACTAAAAACACTTTATTCTAAGACTATAAAGTGGTCGGGCAGCAGGTGCCTGGCAGAAGCAGATACATGTCATCTTTGGAGGAATCCATCAATCTAGGCTACATAAATTCCCACTGATCTGAGCTAAGCAAATCAATAGTTTAATTACAGAACACATGGAGAAATAGGTCATCACGAAATAGAGTGAACAGAAGTAACAGGCAGTAAAATCACACATGTAAAGACTTCAGACGTTAGAATTATCAGATATAAAAGACCATACATGTAGGCTTAAAATATTTAAAGGCATAAAAAAGCAGAAACTGAAAAATATTAGTTACGAGGAGGAGTTTTAAAAATGACCAATTTACAAAAGAAATTAAACCTCTAGAGATAAAAATTAAAATAATTAAATTAAAAATGTAATGAAAGAAAGATCAACAACATATTAGACATAGCTGAAGAAAGAAGCAATGAGCTAGAACACCCAGAATACAGAGACAAAAATATGAAATACAGACTGAGAGTCATGGAGGATAAAGTGAAAAAGAATAACATGCATCTAATCAGAGTTTCGCAAAGAAAGGAGAGACAGAATGGTGCAGAAGTAGTA